GAGACATACTGAAAGAAAGAAAGAAAGAAAGAAAGGCACTTGTTCACATTTTTTGTGTAAAGGTGCACTAAATCAAAAATTGGGGACACAAAGATGTAGTTAGGCAGTATGTGCATGGACTGGCTGTTCAGAACGAAATTGAGGACAAAATTTCAGTAAATAACTCGACAGGGTGGAGGGTCCAGCACCTGCTTGGTGTGGCTGCTTTGCCTGGATCTTACAGTGTGACATTAACCGCCAAGTTACAGGTCAGATCTGTGGAGAAGAGACCCTGTTCTTAGTTTCTCAAGGGTTTTTAAAGCAATAAAAACACCTGTAATCAACTGAATACAACAGATAAATTTAATGCCACACTGTGGATCATTCTAATGATTTTTCTACAGTGCTTTTCTACGTTCAAGGCTCAAAGCATTTACATCATGGAAACACTCCCCCATTCACACTCATACATGAGGGATGAGGGGAGTTAAATGTCTTGCTCAAGAACACGATGTCTGTAGGAGCTGGAATCACAGTGGATCTGACTGATCTACCAGTGATTTTTTTGAGACAGCGGGATTCAAACCACCAACCTTCAGATCAGAGGACAAACTCGCGACCCACTGAGCTTCTGTTTTGGGCAAAGTAAAAACATTTATAGAGACGAGTAGGCACTGGACCAATCAAAGGTTACATAGTGTGTCTTTATTTCTTTGAGTTTTTGCAGTTTGTGACTTTATGGTGACTTTATATGACTTTTTATTTTCCATAGGAGCCCAGATTGACGACCACGTTCCCAAAAGATCTTCTGCCCGGATCCTGGCTCCTCCAGGGGGGCGCTCCAGTGGGATTTGGTAACTGCACAATGGTGAAACAGGAGAAGAAGAAGTTGTAGTTTTTTTTTTTATTATTTTTGGAGGTCGTTCCATTGGAAAGGTGTTTTGATTTCAGACACTGCACAATGTTTCTATAGGACTGTCCCACACTGCATTTAAAGAAGGTAGAAGTGAAGTAGGAGGAACCAAGTTTAGCTTTCGGTGACTGGATTATGTAGTGAACTTCTTGTAGTGTTCAAGACCAAGTACCAGACCAAACTCTCCACATTTTTATCACTTTATTACCATGGTGTGTGTATTAACGGGCATATGACAGGTTTGACTCTTTCATTTCTACTTAACGTGGTGGTTGGTGATGGGTTATTATAAATTATAGTTCCATACCAATCAAAAACAATCTATTGAAAATTACAGAAAGTATTTATAACAAAATCAAGATCATTCTATCAATTAATAAACTGGGGATTTTTTTAGTTTTAGCAAAAACTTGAATATGATGTTTACTGTGTTGTAATCCAACTTGTCATCGGCCCTTTAATCAGTGCACTTTAAATGATCACATTCTCAGTGGTGACAAACGGATAATGTCACCTCAGCTGCCCTGGGGCAAACTGACAGGAACGTCACTGTCATTGACTTTAATATCTGTGTGTGGTGTTTTGCCCAATGACACAACATCAGCCTTGCACTGGGGAGGAATCTATCCAACAACCCTCCAAACAACAGACAACATTTCATCAGTATAAAGGTGGGATCATTTGTGTGGTTGGCCCTTCAAAATAAAAGCCTGGTCTTCAACACTACTGTGTACACAGACTGTTCAGTAGTATCAGAGGTGGGTAGTGTAGGATCTGTTTGTTTATTTGTATTTTAGTATTTATTGTTTCTTACTTAGTTTTATTTATTGGAATTTGCACACTACTTTATCATTTCTTTTTGTTATTAAACAGTAATAATGGCTTATAACTGTTCAGATCTCACATTTTAAATCACAATATTGAGCTATAAAGAGTTAATAAAAGAAACTAGTGCACTGACTCACGCGTTACAAAACTGTGGTGTCCAACGGAGCTGATGTCACCATAAACATCATGACACTAAACCAGGTCTAAACCAGGTCTAAACCAGGACTAAACCAGGTCTAAACCAGGACTAAACCAGGACTAAACCAGGACTAAACCAAGCTGTGGACCCCTTCTAAGGAGCTGCACATCACACTAGAACAGAGTGGGGTCTTTTTTATATTTGGACAAAAACAACGACACGACGCTGCCCAGTCCTATGAATATCACCCATGAAGAACATCAAACTGGAGAATGAAGTGTGGATATCACAGTGGGCGTGTACGTCACAGTGGGCGTGTACGTCACAGTGGGCGTGTACGTCACAGTGGGCGTGTACGTCACAGTGGGCGTGTACGTCACAGTGGGCGTGTACGTCACAGTGGGCGTGTACGTCACAGTGGGCGTGTACCGGGAAGCTGAAAATGGGGTAGATCAGAGCAATGATGAAAATAAGTGACTAAAGATGACTCAAACATGCACAAATCCTGGTTTTATTACTGGTTTAAGTCCTGGTTTAGACCTGTTTTATTCCTAGATTTATTTATGGTTTAAGTCCGTCCAAGTCCCACTCTAAGTCCTGGCACAAATCAACTCTTAATAGTTGATTTTGCGTAGCACGTCCGCTTTAAGTGATTACGTACAGTTTTTGTATCATTCTTGTGTTATTTTTAAGTTGTTATTTGAATTTCTATTCTGCAATATTTTGTCTTTCACCTGCCCACCTCCGTCTAGTTTTTGTAACAGTTTTTAGCGTCTGTAGCTTGAGCCCTGATTTTTTTTTTTGTACTATTTTATTGACCTCACTGTAACATATGACTTTGCACTGATTATTTTCGAGGCCTTTTGAACAACTCATCTACTCAACTGTATTTTTACTCCACCCGTTACCGTAGCAACGTATCAGTATCAAATATATCAGAATGCAAGTGATTATTTCCATGTGTTTATTTATTGTTGCTTTAAAGGTACACTGTGTAACTTTTCTGCTGGTGGAGAGAGTCTGCTGTTTTCATATAGAAATGTCACCACTTTGCCTGGAATGTTCCGCAGTATAGCATTAGCACTAAGCCTTTTAATGAAGCGTTTATTGAATTTCAAGTGTTTTTATTGTAGGAAAATACATTAAAAACACACATTCTTACTGTGAGTGGGCTCGCCGTTCCACAGACTTGACCTGAGTATTTCTGAAGAACAAGCAGGTCTCTCTTCTCTCCCAGAAAGTTACGCAGTATTCCTTTAATTTGTTGTCCTGACACTACTGCTATAATATTGTATTCTTCCCATGTTTACAGTTTGATAATAGCTTTCCCTAAAATGTGAACTCTTGTTTTTGTGCATGGCAACTGGTATTACTAATATTGCAATATTTCTGGTAAAATTTTACGTTGCTTGAACCAAATTGCCTTTTCTTTTTCTCTTATATTCCAAATGTTTGATGCACTGGCTGCTATTTGACTCTAAAACTGTGATGGGCTTTTGTCTTCTGTCTGTACACTTCCCAAAACTTAGACATGACCAAAACATCAAACTAAAAATCATCTAGAAAAATGAAAAACAGGAATCTTTACTTATTCAAAAGTAAATATTTAGTTCACTGTGTCTCAAACTGGGGTCCAGGTGCTGCGTGAGACTAGATCTTTATGCTCCTGAGTTCTTACGTTATACTAAGTTAGTCCTGGTTTAGACCCAGTTTAGTCTAGACTAAGTCATGGTTTAGATCTCATCAAGTCCTGGTTTTAGTCCTGGTTTAGACCTGATTTAGTCCTGGTTTAGACCTGGTTTAAATCCTGGTTTAGACCTGGTTTAGACTTGGTTTAGACCTGGTTTAGATGTGGTTTAAGTCTTGGTTTTGTCCTGTTTTAGACCTGGTTTAGACCTGTTTTTTGTCCTGGTTTTAGACCTGGTTTAGACCTGGTTTTAGTCCTGTTTTAAATCCTGGTTTATTCCTCGTTTAATTTCTGGTTTAGACCTGGTTTAGACCTGGTTTTAGTCCTGTTTTAAATCCTGGTTTATTCCTTGTTTAATTTCTGGTTTAGACCTGGTTTAGACTTGGTTTAGACCTGGTTTAGACCTGGTTTAGACCTGGTTTAGTATTTTTGGAGAACTGCCACTCTTCTTTGCTTCTGTTTCGTACTGACATCTTTGATACACACTTGTACTTCAGCGTGTTCCTCATTTGCTTTTGGACTTTCTGTGTGTTACTTATTGTCTTAGTAAATGAGTACATGATTATAATGTCTGGGTGAGACTTTAGACCTTCCCTTCTGCCGTGTTTAATATGTTTGTTTTTTTATCTTGTCTAAATCTGCACTGACTCGTCCTCCTTCATTACACTGGTGCTCTACAACGTTTGGTCACTTTGATTACCTGGTGTTATTTTGCAGTTGTGACATGAAAATGCAAATAAACACAGTCAAAATTCCTTTTGTGTTTTAACTTAATTCTCCAGGATCCTCCACCAGAAAAGTTCCAAAATGCACCTTTAACTAAATCATAATTAATATCATTTTTATTATATTTAAGTTTTTACTAAGAAACATCGCCTAGTCTTTTGTGGCTTTGTAATTTAGGTGAAGGTAAGGCCATAATTTTATTTCCTGGGCATAAGTCATCACCTTGTTTCTATGGATACAGATGTTATTGCCCTGTCTGGAATGTTCCACAGTGTGACATTAAACAGCTCGACTTTACATTTATTCAATTACAGGTGGTTTTAAAGCTCAGAAATACCTCGAAAAACAGACATTGTGACTGTGAGCTGGATCACCTCTCCACAGACCTGACCTGTAACTTGGTCTAGTTTGGTCTCCATGAAGATAGAAAGGTTTAATGTCATACTGTGAAACATTCCAGACAAAGCAATAACATCTCCATGGAGAAAAGCTTTTGACAGAGCCTCCAGCAGAAAAGTTACACAATGCAGCTTTAACTTCAAATAATATATAAGCACTAAAAATATGTAAACTAAAAATCTATGCACATGTTGTAAGGTATCTACAATGGTTCAAAATCCCATTAAAACATTAACCAGGCTGGTGCCTTCACTCAATTTCATTTCTCTCCACTGACTAGATCAGGAGTCAAAATACACCAGAGCATTCACAAAAAAGTGCGAGTTCGGCACCAGCCAATCAGAGAAGAGACATATATTCTGTGTTGGCAACAATTCCTGAGATCGAGGATTTAAAGCAGGAATAAAAAGAATGTTTGGTGAATTTTATCAAGGGTTAAGACATTATTATCCTTCTTCCTACAGGATTTGGGAAAAGCTTAATATACCAGTTAACCCTGTTAGTAGAGCATTACACACATCATGACCAAATAACAGCAACTGGTTAAATGATAAAAAGTAGCTGCACTGTCGAGTGAACGAATTCTAACACTGTGAGGTCAGACGGTTTCTGCGAAGCGTATATAGTATAATTAGTATTGTATAGTAGTAGTAGTAGTAGTAGTACTGTAGTATAGTTGAGTATGTATAGTGTAATACTACACACAGCAAAAAGTGGAGTGTGAAAATCGATTCTCACAGAATCAATTTTAACATTTTCCAGAGTTTATATGAGTCCAATCTGTTCTAGACTCTGCTCTAACATTGGACCAAAGTTAACGTTTAACCCCGAAATCAAGAGTTATATTCATGTTTTGAGAGTAAACAGATAACACTTTGTAGAGTTATCCTGATTTAGCAAAACAACACACAGAGGTGTTTGAATTTTACTCTTTATTTCAGTTAATTTAAAATGAAATTATGTACAAAACTGTTTCAAACTGGTCTACTCTCACAAGAGTTTGAAGTGGTGAATGGGAGGAGCCAAATTAACACTAAGAGAAGTTCAATTAACACTAGAGGAATTTTAATTAACCTCAACCACATCAGCTCTGGCAAATAACCCCAACTCGAACCCCCATTTAACTTTCAGTTAGGGCTGGGCAAAAATAAAAACATTTTTATCGCGATTAATCGCATGAGTTCGAGCGATTAATCACGATTAATCATGATTAATCGTATGTTATAGGCAAAACCAATTAATGAATTAAAAAGTAGAGTATAGCGCTCTTTTATTGGAAATGTAAATGAAAGAGCCAAACATTTGTTGTGCAGGGGTTGTTCACAGGGGAATCCTCAGATCCTTCAAGGTGTTCAGGGAAGGCTCAAGAAAAAATACTGAATGGATGTTTGTACTACTAATATTTATTGAATATTTTTTATGCTGTGAGTAATGAACACTACACTAGTAATAATGATATTTCTGATATTTCTTAGGAAACAAAGGGTTAATATAATGGAATGGAAATGGACCAATCACATTTTTTCTTCCAGTGGTATCTGGGTAAATCAGTGACTCCAACACTGAACTAAAGAAATAAGCTCAGCTCAGAGCCGGTGCCCACGAGCCCGCGGCCGGAGCCGGAGCCCGCGGCCGGGCCCGCGGCTCGCGGAGGGTCGGGCACGTTGCATCTCACGTGGTCAGAAAAAAAGTGAAAAAAGTGTCAAGAAAAGACGTCAAACTTAAAGAAACGCTCGTGGTGGACTTTTTCAAAATAAAAGCCAGTGAGAAACAGACGTTTACAATAAAATAAATAGATAAATAATAAAAACTGCTTTAACGGCGTTAAAATAATTGTCGGCGTTAATGACTTAATTAGTTAACGCAAAGTTAACGCGTTAACGTGCCCGGCCCTACTTTCAATTAATTAAAATAACACTTTTGGTGTCAAAAACTCTGAAATATTTTACCCTAAAATTTTAACCCTCCAGTTTTTGCTGTGTTGGGTTGTCATGATAATTAGGCTCCACATGGATTTATCGTTCAATAAATGAAAGTTGGAACAGTATATTTTGGATTTTGTTGATGTGTTTTGTTTCATTCACATGTTTAACACACAAACCTTCACATTTAGGCTGAACTCTTCTCTGAAACAGAAAACACTCTGTTCCACCTTGTGATGTCATGTGGTGATACAGGAAGAGCTCTTCTGTGTACTGTATAAACTCCACACACCTTCACTAGAATTATTCGGCTCATTACAGCCCTGGAATTGTGAATTTCTGCTGAACTAAAGGTTAAAAGGTCAATGCGGTGTTTTGTGAGTCAGCAGGAAAGCCCTGCAGCACAGAGTGAACACAGCCAGGAAGATCAGTGGTGCAGCTCTCCCCTCCCTGCAGAACAGGGCTGGAGTGGGTGTGGTACACGGGGGCACGCCGTCCACCCACTTCTCCCGACGTCAGATATAAAAAAATAACAAATATAAAATAGCTGCAACTTAAATATCAAACAGGAGCAACTGGCAATGATGAAAACAACCTGCATAGACTCATGAAATCTGCAGGACTGTCCTATAGAGACCTGAGACATGAGGGACCAGGACTGAACCAGGACTGAACCAGGACTGAACCAGGACTGAACCAGGACTGAACCAGGACTGAAACAGGACTGAACCAGGACTGAAACAGGACTGAAACAGGACAGAGTGTCAGGATGGGCCCGGAGTTGCGCCCGTGTAGAGCGTTGAGTGACCGCAGGTGAAAGGACCAGTGCAGATCTGTGCGCCTCACGGGGCCCAGCGCAGCCATCGCCCAATCACACTTTGCAGACTCTCTGCTTCATGGACTCAGGGTTTTCTCTCTCGAATAATGACGTTACAAATCATGTACATCTGCTTAAAAAAATCCCACTACACCACTGCTGCAAGACATATACACCACCCTCCTCGCCCGCACACACACCACCCTCCTCCCCCGCACACACACCACCCTCCTCCCCGCACACACACACCCTCCTCCCCCGCACACACACCACCCTCCTCTCCCCGCACACACACCACCCTCCTCCCCCGCACACACACCACCCTCCTCCCCCGCACACACACCACCCTCCTCCCCCGCACACACACCACCCTCCTCCCCCCGCACATACACCACCCTCCTCCCCCGCACACACACCACCCTCCTCCCCCGCACATACACCACCTCCTCGCCGGCACACACACCACCCTCCTTCCCCGCACACACACCACCCTCCTCCCCGCACACACACACCACCCTCCTCGCCCGCACACACACCACCCTCCTCCCCCGCACATACACCACCCTCCTCGCCGGCACACACACACCACCCCCTCCCCCCGCACACACACACCACCCTCCTCGCCCGCACACACACCACCCTCCTCCCCCGCACACACACCACCCTCCTCACCGGCAAAGCTGCATACAATATGTTCAGGCTTCCACCCACTGGAGGGAGCTCCAGGAGCCTCTGTTCCTGCACCACCAGACTCACTAACAGCTTCATCCTCCAGGCTGTTAGGATGCTGAACTCTCTCCTCTCTAACCTCCAGGCAACAGGAAGCAGGAATCTGTGTCTCTATAAAGAAGAAATTTGGACTTTTCCTTTTATTATTATTTATTTACATGTTTGGGAATGAGAAACACAATTTAAATTCTTCATATGTTTTGTTTGACAATAAACTTTTTTGAGTTGAATTAGAATTAAAAAGGTGGCTGTTAACTTGAAAACTACCACTTCATGACATCACAAGGTAGAGCAGAGCATTTTGAGGAGATGTAGACAGACTAATACAAAAAGGTTACTCAAACATGTATGAATGAAACAAACAAACAAACAAACAAAAACCTCCAGGTCTGTTTTTGATGAGGGAACATTATAACCTGACTTAAAGCTCACAAAAGTCAGTTTTCCGTAATACTGTCCCTTTAACCCTCACTCTCTCCTCGGGGTCACATAGACCCGAAGAATTTATTTTTTTATTTTTTATTTTTCCCTTCCCGCTCTCTTGGGGCGGGTCACCCAAAAAAAATATTTTCTCGCCTGGCGAGAAAATAAATGTTTGGGCCTTGTTATTTTCCCTTTAAAGCCTCAGTAACATAAGCAGCATCACGCTCCAAAGCCACCATCACATTACCATCATGTGTCAGCCCCGAACCGGAGCGGCATGTAACCGGGCGCATGCGCAGTACTCACGGGAGCGGCTCGTATCTAAGCGCTGCACCGCCGCGTCTCCAGCATTCCCCAGCTACGTACAGGGCTTTAAACCAACACACAGTGAGTATTTGTGACATATTTACTCTCAGTTCACCGTTTGACCGTGTGTGTGATTCGTTTTACGGTTTGATCGCGCTGAGACGTTGCCAGGAGCATTTGCGCGTCGGAGGCCGTGGAGTAGCCTGGATGAGAGGGGGTTTCTACGGTGCGGTTATGACCAAAAGCTACCGGCAAATCAGCACGTTATTGTTCTCCGTGGGAAAACGCCACACAGACCCACACCCGTTTGGTTTATTAGCGCATTTTACGCTTTGACGTTTTACGCATTTGGAGAAGAATAGCCAAACGTCGCTGGTGCTACTCCCATTTTGCAGTCGATTCAAAACCAATTGATTTTGTGGCTAAAAAACAGACGCGCCCACCTCAAGAAATACGGTTGGCTAGCGGTTCTCAAAGTGCGGTCCCGGGGCGGATATAGACACTCACGGTGAATTTGCACTTCACAGTTTTGGATTGTATTACTAGTAACCACCTCTAGTTCTTTTATTCTTGGTTTAGTCCTGGTTTAATCCTGGTTTAGTCCTGGTTTAGTCCTGATTTAGTCCTGGTTTAGTCCTGGTTTAGTCCTGGTTTAGTCCTCTTGATCCAGTTTTAGTTCTGGTTTAGGCTTGTATTAATAGAGCTTTTTCTGTTTTAGAATCTGTGTCTCCAAGCCAAAGTAACAGAAATTGAGGAACACTGCCAAATTTACATATTAATTCAGATATAAAAAGTGGAGTGTCTTGCCCAAGAGCACAGTGACAGCTTATAACTGATAGCAGGATGCAGACTGTCAAGTTAGACCACATTCATACACACAGAGCAACAAAATAACAACAGAGGCTAATTTGAAATATATTTAATCTGGTATATTTACACTGTAATTACATAAATTCATTAGTACAAGATGCTACTTTTATTGAATAAATAAAAATGGGACCTCACTGGGACTAAACCAAGATCTGAACATCACCAAACACAGGACAGATATAAATGGAGGTTATATTGTATTTGTATAGAAGAGCTGGTTTCAGTGACTTCAATTTTTGCTATCAACAAATTACTGAATGTCTCTCTATACAAAAAATATACAAAACCTGAAAAAAACACCCTCTTTCTTTTTTAGTTTACCTTCGTTTGTCTCTTCATGTAAGGCATCTTTGAGTATCTTGAAAAGCGCTGTACATGTATTATTATCATTATTATTATTATTATTATTATTAATAATAAAACAGTGATGAGAAAGATTCAAACATGTCAAGACTTTTCCATATGTGGAGCATTTGACATTTGTGCGAAAGAGGCCAGACGAGTCAGTGCAGTCAAACAGACAGAAACCCGACATCAACGTTACCAGCTCCACATGTCTGCTACAAATGAACAACACAACTGCAGTTTAGTCTACAATACTGGCTAATACCTTTTGAATAAAATAACAAAAGAAAATAGCAAAAATAAGTCAAGCCTAATGAAATAATTCAAGGTCCCTTATTACTTTATTACAAAAGTGACTCTTGTGAGCGTTAAGTCGTGTTATCATGTTCCCGCCTCAGAAACACACCTGGAGTTGTGTTTTGTTTCATTCAAACATGTTTGAGTAACTCTTTATTATTAGTCTGTCTACGTCTTCAAAGTTCCACCTTGTGATGTCCTGAAGTGGTAGTTTTGAAATTAACAGCTCCTTTTATCTGTAGTTCAGAAGTTTAATTCGTGGCAGTTTCAGGGCTGAAATTATTCAAATAGTTCTAGTGAAAGTGTGTGGAGTTTAAAAAGAGGTTAAGTAGTGGAGCACTTCCTGTATTACCCCATGACATCACTAGGTGGGACAGAGTTTTTAGGGTTTGTGTGTTAAACATGTATGAATGAAACAAGACACAGTTCCAGGTCTGTTAGTAATGAAGAAATGACATTAGAAAAGAAAATAGCGTATTTGTATTTTCTTGCATCTTCCTCTTTGTTAAACTCAGTATTTGTTGTTTTTTTCCAGATGGCGGTGAACATTTTGACCACGTCGGTCTCTGTGAATAACATGAGCCGTCATGACATGCTGGCCTGGGTCAACGACTCTCTGCAGCTCAACTACTCCAAGATCGAACAGCTCTGCTCAGGTACAGCCGTGTTTATTTCAAACATTTTGGTTGGTGTCCATCACCTGCTTGTTTCTATGGAGATGTTATTGCTCTGTCTGGAATGTTCCACAATGTCACATTAAACAGATCTACTTTCAATGTCTTTGGTTTTAACGCTCAAAAAATACCTAGAAAAACATTCTGACATTCTGACTGTGAGCGGGGTCGCCTCTCCACAGATCTGGTCTGGACTCCATGATGATAGAAAGGTTTAATGTTAATCTAAAAACTTTCCTTTTGTCTTGTTGTGTACATGAACTTCAACAAGGTCAATACGCCAATGTGCTGTCTTAAAAAAAAAAAAAAAAAAAAAAAGGTTTAATGCCACACTGTGAAACATTCCAGACAAAGCAATAACATCTCCATGGAGACAAGTTACACAATGCAGCTTTAAGTGAATATACAGTGTGTCCCAAAAAATTTGAGACACCAGACCAATCATTTGGGCAATTCTTCTTGAAATAACCTAAAATTTTCACAGAATGTAAAGAAACAGATCGAGATTTTATACTGAATGTTTTATTTTTGTTCTGTTTTCAGGTTGAGCCGTTCATTCCCAAACAGAAGTCATTTTGTGTGTTGGAATCTCCTCGCACACATATGTGATCCTTTAGCCCTACATAAGATCATTCCTCTTTACATTTTTGGTCCAAAGTCTAAATTTGTTTTGCCACTTGATGAAGTTTTTCCAAATGTTGTATTGAAGCTTCACAGTCGTGGGTGAGTGTGTGCAGAAGATTCCAAACACAAAATGACTTTTCTTTGAGAGTGAATGGCTCAACCTGAAAACAGAACAAAATAAAACATTACGTATATAATCTTGATCTGTTTCTTTATATTCTGTGAAAATTTAAACTTTTTTCAGCAAGAATTGCCAAAATTACTGGTCTGCGAAATGATGTTATGAGTGACTTGTAATCTCACTTCACACAGTAACGTAACACAGTAAAAATCCTCCAGCTAACAAAGTCCTGACCAAGCCTGGCCCAAGGTCTGGAGATGGGTCCCACTGCTCGTGACTGTTGGAATGGGAGAAATTTTCCTCCTGGCTCCATACCTCAACCTTAAAGATCCTATACTAAACAAAATGAATTCTTGTGAGCTTTAAGCCAATTTATAAAGATTTTACCTCCTCAAAAACAGATGTGGAGTTGTGTTTTGTTTCATTCATACGTTTGAGTAACTCTTATTATTAGTCAGTCTACATCTTTGTTGCAAGTGAGCAGCTCTTTTTCACTTTAGTTCAGTAGAGATTGGCAACTCCAGGTCTGAAATTATCCAAATGATTGTTGAGAATGTGTATGGAGTTTAAAAACACAGTGGAACATTTACTACTGACCATGACATCACAAGGTGGAACAGATTGTTTTACATTTGAGAGAAGAACTCAGCCTAAATGTGCAGGGTTTGTGTGAATGAAACAAAACACAACTCTAGGTCTGTTTGTGATGAGGAAACTACATTAGAAGATCAGAAAATAGTCTAATCTGGACCCCTTAACCTAATTATCTCCACAAACCTGCTCTGATGTTCAGCAGTTATCTGTTCACTGGATCACTGTGTAAATTTGTGTGTAATTTGAAACCAACTGCTCTCTTCTTCTCAGCGTCTGCAGATTCAGATGTACACAAATTTAATCTATAATACTCAAGATAATGTAGTTGGTCCTTTTCTTTTGCTAATGCGTGTGTTTATGTTTGTGTGTATGTGTTTGTGTGTTTATGTTTGTGTGTTTATGTTTGTGTGTGTGTGTTTGTGTGTGTGTTTCAGGGGCAGCATACTGTCAGTTCATGGATTACCTGTTTCCTGGATGTCTCCTTCTGAAGAAAGTAAAATTTCAGGCCAGACTGGAGCACGAGTTTATCCAGAACTTCAAAATCCTGCAGAAGGCCTTCCAGCGCATGTCTGTGGAGAAGGTCAGAACTACAATCTATGGACGTTAGTGCAGACTCATACAGGCTCAGAGAGGCTACGTTCAGACTGCACAGCTTAATGCTCAATTTGGATTTTTTTCTGAGGTTGTTCACATTTCCAATTAAATGTGACTTGTATGTGATCTCCAGTGTAAACGTTAAACGCCCCAAGTGTCTCGCATTGGAGGACACAACAATGGCAGCGAGTGTGCTCTGAAAGTCGCCTAAACACTGAGCTTGTCTCCCAAAATTCAGTCCAGTTCTTGGTAAAATGGACAGGTTACACGTCCACGGCCGCTTCGTTTGTTTGAGTCTTTATCCTCCTTGTATTTGGCTCACAGGCTTTTTATTTTTTGTTGACATTGGAGCCAAGACGCCTGTAGCCGCGCTCGGACGTTTCTTTGGCAATCATTTCAAAAAACACTCCGATAAGACTCCTCCAATTTGGCCTGACTACAGCTATTCTCCCAAATTTGAATGAACCCACTAACCTCGCTTTCCCTCCACTGATGAGACTCTGAGCCTGACGTGTAGGTGGATGAATGTGACCTGACCGTTCAGACTGAAGTCACATCTCAAAAGATCAGAAATGTTTGGGTTTTAGGAGCACATATCCAAGTGTCCTGGGTCACATTAAAAGAAATGGGATCTGTGTGGTTCAGACTGTCATTAAAAGATCAGATACAGGAGCATAGGAGTGAAAAAAATCAGATTTGGGTCACTTCAGTCTGAACGTCGCCTGACACAGCCTCGTCTATGTCACTGTGCCGTTAGAAGCTCTCAATCCTCCCTTTTTTGTTCCCGGCGAGGTTGTGGAGGACAGGAGTGATGTGTTTGTGTGACTGAGTGTGTGTGAGGAGGTGGGCAGCGGAGTTTTGGATGTATTACAGTTTATTGAGTGTTTTGGAGGGTGTGCTGTAGAGAATCCTACTGCAGTGATCTCATCTGGAGGTGATGAAGGTGAGGATCAGGGTTTCAGCAGCAGGGAAGGACAGGGATGAATGGTTTTGAGGTGGAAGAACGCAGACCGAGTTATTTGATTATTATTATTGAATTAACTCTACACCAGAGTCTAACCAGGAAGCCAGACGATACATATTTTTTAGGGAAATATAACAAAAGAAATGAAAGAGCCTGGAAGTGCACTCTTAGCATGCTAGTTATTGTCAGCTTTACCGTTCTGAAAGTTGTGAAATGTGCTTGTAAACTCGTCGTGGTGAATAGGCATTGGACAGTCTTAAAATTTAGCATCACGGTTATCACGGTTACCAAAATAATTGCGATTAAGGATCAGGATGACATCGCGATCATTCTGAAAGTTGCTGACCGTTTTAAACAGCTCTGGGGCCTGACAGCTCACTGCTCACATTAGGGATAGAAATACTGCCACTGAAAAGTGCACGCTCAGGTCTGGTTTGCTCAAGAGAAACTTAATCACTACATTGCTGCACTGGCTCTGGGAGTTGTACAAATGTGTGTGTTTGACTTATTTATTTTGCATTTGTTTATTTATTTGTATTATTTGTGTGTGTGTGTGTGTGTGTGTGTGTGTGTGTGTGTGTGTGTGTGTGTGTGTGTGTGTGTGTGTGTGTGTGTGTGTGTGTGTGTGTGTGTGTGTGTGGAGTTTGCATGTTTCTCCTCCTGGCACTAACCATATATTCCATAAATCCATAGATATTAATAATTATCACTTTAATATTATTAATAAGTTCCATATTTAAATAACTGTTATAGTGTGGTACTTTTCTATAAGTGATACACAACAGCAGAGAAGAGACGTACCACAAGATCTCACGAGACAAAATTACCACAAGATTGTGCACACATGAGAAAAATGAATTTACCTTTGGCTTGGACAGAAAAAGAGTGAAGAGGTGGTGAGTGATGTAGTTTGAGAAGCTGTAGTTCCAAAAACAGGACTACAATGACCACTAAAGAATTATATACAATAAAAGAAGCCAACACTGTGAACTGGTTGCACTACTTATTTCTTACAAATTATGTCAAAATGTTGTCTTGTCTCGTTCTCGTGGATCTGATCTCGTGTGTCTCGTCTCATGAAAACTGTTCTGTTCCACCTGTAAACAACAGTGATCTGGAGGAAAACATCAGGGATAAGCATCTTACTTTCTGCACACGTTTGGTGATAAAATAGTTTTTGTTAGGGATTTTCATGATTATATAAAATGTCCCTCATTATTGTGTACCTTTTTTATCACGATACACATATATATATATATATATATATATATATATATATATATATATATATATATATATATATATATATATATATATATATATATATATATAAACATATTCAGTGTGTAGAACAATCAAATCAATCAGAGTCAGTGAGCAGGTGTGGGCAGAAGTTAAAACTTATTGTGTCTCCTTTTATCTCCAGCTCCAGCACGTTCAAGGACATTCATCTCCAAAATGAATATGACATTAATACAACATTTTACTGCATCATAATAAAAACAACAATTATTTTAATTATAACAAAAATCTCTTTATATTTAATATTTTTCCATGACTATTCATTTAAAAGTTGAATAGAAAAAGAGAAGTGTGTTGTTTTAGTTCATTGCAGCAGCTGTTTCATAATGTCGCTCCTTTGCTCGATGAACAGTGTTCCTCACAGTGGTTCTAACATGTGGAACACACATGTTTCATGAAGATTATATCTACTTTCTCTCTGAGTGAACATTGCCTGAGGAATTTCATGATGTTTGACTCTGTACATGAACTTAGCCGTGTACAAGTCGACCAAGTCATAAAAGTTGAGAACATTAGATCAGATGAACAGTGAGTTACAGGTGAATCATAAGGTATGTGGTTCATCAGTCTAAAGGCTTTTTTTTGCAGTAGAAGGACTGGATTTGTTCTGGTTTTATATGATTCCCCAAATTTCAAGACCATATGTTGATATTGGTGAGATGTGATGACAGAACAATATAATAACTCCAGTCGTTTCCACTTTCTTCTGTACATGCTTGTATATGAGATTTCTGTTTCATTTTGCAATCTATAATTACCCCAAGAAATTTGATACTCTCAATGCAGAAGGTAAATGTGAAATAACTGGAACACTGAAAACTGTTGAAATGAACCTAGATGTTTTTAAGACAGTAACATTCTGATTTAAGTACAATTTGGTGAAACGTTATTAATTATCTTGCTTTAACCTGTGAAAACCTGTGAGACTTGCCTAACCTGCTGTTTACCCTTTGACCTTTTGGCAGATCATTCCAGTGGAGCGGTTGGTAAAGGGGAGGTTCCAGGATAACTTTGAGTTCGTGCAGTGGTTTAAAACGTTTTTCGACGCCAACTACACCGGGCAGGAGTACAACCCAGTAGCAGCCAGACAGGGCCAGGACATGACCCCGCCCCCAAACCCAGGTGATCACTACATCCACAGAGCAAAGAGACCCACAGGTAACCCCCCCCCCCACCCTCTCACCTCCGAGACTAAGACTGGGCCTGTCACGATAACTGAGTTTTTTGACTGGGGTTGTCAATAATATCGAAAATCAGATATTAAAATTAGATTCTCATTTGAGCTGGAATCAATACAAAAAAGACCCATTCACCAAGCAGAAATGAACCTTTCCTGAATGTGTTTAGAATGATGTAGATCTGTATCAGAACAAGTGTAAGAGCACATAGACTAGTACACACACATGGACCAACATGAACCTGCTGCACCACTGACCATTACACACATATAACACACGGGAACAGAAAAGAAAGAACTACTATTTAATGTGGAAAATCACATTATATTGTCTAAAGAACAAAGTTTTTTTATTAACATTGTGGTATCGGAATCAGTATTGAGTATCGAGCCTATTCCTTAATATCGAAATTGACAAAATGAGCTAAAATAAATAAAAAGCAGAATGAAACTCTTAAATAAACAGTTTGTAAGTTACTCGACGTTCAGACTGCAGCCTGAAGTGACCCAAATCCAATTTTTTGGCCCCATGTGACCTGTATCTGATCTTTTAATGACAGTCTGAACCACACAGATCAGATTTTTTCAAATGTGACCCAGGACACTTGGATATGTGCTCCTAAAACCCAAACATTTCTGATCTTTAACATGTGACTTCAGTCTGAACGGCCAGGTCCGCACACACACGTTTCTTTCTACGGACGTTGGTGCCACTGCCAAGCAAAATGTCATGACCAAAAACCTCGTCCTTCTCCTTCTCAATCTCCTCCTTAAAACAATAAGTTGTTCATGTTCTGGTTCCGGTACAACAGCAGCTTTAAAATCTCCAGGTTCTCAATGCTGCGTCCATGTTTAGGTGACTTCCGTAAACACTGAGCACACTGAGCTCGCTGTGTGTGACGTCATTGTGTCCTCCAGTGCTCATGTGGGACACTTTTGAGGTGTTTAAAGTTCAGTGGAGATCATACAAGTCACATTTAACTCTAAATGTGAACAACCTCGCAAAAAAAAATCAGATTTAATTTCTCCAGCTCAAATATAACTGTAGTACAGATAATTACGCATAAGTACAAAGAAAAAATACCCACAATAACGACTGTCCTCCCCTCAAAATTATTGTTCCATTCTGGGGCTGAAACAAGTTAACAGATTAATCGCAACTAATCCATTATTGAGATAATCACCAACTGATTCAGCAACTGAATAATCGTTTCTTGACCATTACAGACTCTAAACCATGCCAAGTGGCAAAAGAACAGGTTTTATGACTTTCACAATCTAATAAACAAATCAATTAACTGAAAGAATGATCAATAAACAAAGTAATCATTAGCTGGAGCCATATTCCAGTTACCCCTCAAAGAACAGATAGAAGTAGATGGAGTTGTTATCGTGACAGGCCTATCTCCGACCACTGGGCACGGCCTGCACGGCTTTGGATGGCTCTAGAGCGCCCCCGCAGGACGACGGTGTGAGCGGCATGACACTGTGGAAACATTGGGAACAGTCTCATCTAAAGGTCCTCTGTTGTGCTCAGGCGGCTCTTTGAAGCTTTTAGTGCGGCACATTTTGGAAAAGGATTACGGTCAGGATTAGTAAGAAAAACAAAGAGCTGTACGTTATAGTCTGTGTCATAGACTGTTTAAAGAAGTGGACTTAGAGTGTGACAGTGTCAGGATACAGTCAAATGAAGCTCACCATGGCAGTTATAGGAGGGAATTTGGAGACTCAAAGCATTTTACAACAAGAAACCACTCACCCATTCACACACACACACATATTCATACAGCAGTTTTTTTTGTTTTAGTTTTTTTTATGTTGAAAGCGGGAATTGAACTGCCAACCTTTGAATCAGTGGACAAACGCTAAAAAAAAAAAAAAAACATAATTGGTTGAGCGTTAGATCCACTGACCCGCAGGTTGCTGGTGTGATTCCACCTCCACAGATGAATACTGTCGTTATTGTTGTGAGTGGTTCCTTGTTGTGAAGCATTTTGAGCCTTGAAGGTGAAAAAGTGTTATATAAAAATGTGAACATTTACCATTATTCAGTAAATACTAGACATAAAATAGTTACTTCATTATTTCATCACAACAATGCGATGAACTATGACATTTTTTATGTATTTTACTTAATTTATTTACATTCATATGACTTGTAATAATAATACTAAAAAAGAGTAACAGTTACTCAGTATATTCATGACTGTTAGTGGTTAGTACATTTGAGTACATTTTACTTAATACTGACAAGTAAACTGTATCTGATATTACAGCAATAAAATGTAGTAAAATGTACAAGTGCACATTCAGTTCAATTAAATCTTTATTAATAACACGTGATATCTGGTTCATAGTATTAAAAAGAAAATAGTACGAATAAAAAAGTTAAATACAGTGCATGTTATAATGTATACAGACAAGACTGCCAGTGTCTCCACGGCTTAGAGGTGAATCTGACAGAGCTCCTCACAAGACACACTAGAGCTTCAATGATTCGATTGCTCAGATTCACGGCTCTACACATAATGAATAAATACAACATCTGATTATGACAGCACAGGGTCTCACATCACAATTTACAAACATTTCACTGGCGCTACAAAACAAAAAAAAAGGATTTTTTTCTAGTAAATCTTACAAGTTATTTTTTTCAGTGCGTGGAACACAGCTCAGATCTAGATCAGAACTAACCCAGAACTAACCCAGGACTAAACCAGGACTAAACCAGGACTAGACCAAGAAGCTCTGCAAACTGAGCAGATTCACAAAGTTAAATGCAATAGAGGACCTTTAAGTGTGCTTTGGTGTCAGTTCAAAGTGATTCTGTTCACACCATCAGCACATGTGTCTCAGTGGAGCACATGGAGTCTGGGGCTGGTGCAAAGGTGGCAGGGCATCTGATCGAACCAGAGGTGTGAACGTCGACTCGAGTCGGACCTGAGTCACTATTTTTAATGACTTGAGACTTAATCAAATGGATTAAAGTGCATATGACAGGTTTTCATGTTTGTTTAAATATTATTTTATTTCGGTCTCGAAAATCAGATACTAAAACTGTTGAAATCATGATTAAAGTATCAGAACAAATATTTCTGGTGTAAACTGTGTCAAACTTTTGGCCCGAATTCTCCCAGTGTGATGACATCAGTGAGAAACTTTTCAACGTATTGTCCACATCTCATTTCTCTTTCCTCGCTTTCTTCTCCTTGATTCCTCTTTATCAATCCTCTGTTTTCCAGCTGTCAATCAAACATGTCATATTCAGTGTTGTCCCAAAGAAAACCACAGAGTGAAGGAGTGAAGCTGAGGGAGGCTTCAGGAGCACACACCAGAGAAAACAATCACACTTTATAACTCAGTGAGGAGTTTAGATCCTGTCTCCTCCCTGTGTCTCCTCTGTGGGCGGGACTTCCTCACCCATTTCCTGCAGAATCAAGGAGACGAATCAAGGAGAAGGAAGTGAGGAAACAGAAATGAGACGCGGCCTTTGCTGGGTTTCAGATGACATCACTACCTTCTATCGGAGAATGTCATTTCATACAGATGGGAGCAGATAAAATGAATGTTGTTCAGCTGCAGATTTGTGTTGTTATACAGCAGGTCTATTAGTGAATAATAGAAATGATCAGGTTCCATATTTGGGAATTTACCTTCCAATATTTCATGGCAAAGTACAATGTGATTAATAGAAAAAACTGGAAACCTGAAAACATGAAAAACCATCACTGAAAACCACCAATTTCTCAACGTTTCTTCCCAACTGCTTCTTGATTTGTATAAAACTATAATTCATATTTACAACAAGTATTAACGGACCAAAATAAGTCAAAATTAGAGAATCATCAAAACCTGTAGGGTGACCAGATGTTCCTATTTCCCCGGGACAGTCCCAGTTTTGAGCCCTGTGTCCCAGCAGATTTATAAAAAACAAAAAAACAAAAACAAAACTGTGATTTGTCCCAGTTTATACAATAAATATCTCAGGTCTCCCTATTTTTGACCAGTTTGAACAGTAATGAGACACATACGTTGTCATTTGTTGAGGTAAAATCCAAAAGGCTTATTAAAAATAACCAAAACACAAAGAAAATGTGACTCTACTGACTCACATTAGTGCCGAGTGCAGAACAGTTTTCCTTAATTACGCACTCATTTCACAATTTTATTATTACCAACCACCTCAAACCATCAACGTCCCAGTTTTTTATTTTGAAAATCTGCTCATAAAAACCTGTCATAAACATTTTAACTTGAGACCGAAGACTTGAGACGTGTGAAAGTCCGACTTGGTCCCACCTCTGGCCTGAGTGCTGCTGTTACGCTGCTGTGTTCAAACACACTCGAGACTTTTTAAGCAAGTTAAATTTGACTTTTGGCAATGCATGATGGTCATTTTTGTATGTGAGTGTGTGCGGATATCTGTCACATCACGGACACTAAATCTGTGCACGCACACTCACATCATGCAGACCTGCCTCATTTTCTGATGTTATAATGTTTAAAATTATAATATCCATTGGAGACTAGAAAAGTTACACAGTGCAGCTTTAAACTAAAATAAAGACTCCTTGAACTGAAGAAATGCACGATTGCTTTGCGGAGTCTGTTCTATTGGAATAAGTGCAAGAAAACAAAATGACCTGATCTGTTTTAACGCCTTCAGGACAGAGACCCCCTCCCACAGTGAAAAACATGCCCACGCCTCAGAGGGTCCACTATAACTCCACCAGGAACTCCACGCCACGGAACGGCCTGGACGCCGAAGTCAAGCTAAAGGAAGAGGTGGGTGGAGCTCAAGTTAAAGCGCCAATATCACGCTCTTTTCTGATCTGTTCTAATGTCGTTTTCTCTTCACAAACAGACCTGGAGCTGTGTTTTGTTTTATTCACACATGTTTAACACACAAACCTGCACATTTAGACTGAGTTCTTCTCTCAAACTGAAAAAACACTCTGTTTCACCTTGTGATGTCATAGGGTAATACTCCAAACACTAGAATCATTTGGATCATTTCAGTTCTGGAATTGCCAAGCTCTACTTTAACATGCATTCTTTAACTTTTCTGGTGGAAGGTCCATCAAATGCAAATGTTTGTCTGGAATGTTTCACAGTATGACATTAAACCGTTCTATCTCCATGGAGACCAAACCAGACCAAGTTACAGGTCAGATCTGTGGAGAGGCCATCCCGCTCACAGTCACAATGTCTGTCTAACATTCACGGAAAAGTTTTGAAAATGTTCACAGTCAAAAAGAGGGGGAACCCTGCCACCTGTAACTGAATAAATGTGAAGTAGAGTTGTTTAATGTCACACTGTGGAACATTCCAGTCAGGGCAGTTATTCTGTCCTCATGATGGTGTCACTACCAGGGCTAGACAGATAACGGACATACAAAAGAGAGTCCACATGACCATGTAGAGAACACTTGTCTTTACTGACACTTATTCTCACACTTGTCTCTTTGTAAATTATAATTTCTTTTATCTCTTTGTTTGAACACACAAAAAATGTGTATTAACAAATTGTATAAACAACATACATGTAATTACATTAAATGTTGTTTCTTAGCTGTGATACATAACCAAAAGCATATATGTTCCAGCAAAATAAAAGCCCCATTACCCAGCCCCAAAACAGGACAGAGCGAGCAACAGAAACCAGCAATAGTCAACACCATGAATGTGTCAAACCATTGTTCAACATTCACCATACGTGTAACAATACAAGAAAAACAATATTACAACATAAAAGAAGCCGAACTTATGGACAGAGATGCCACAAGGCTGAAAACAGAGACGTATTTTATCTGAGACTGCACTGAGAACCGATCACCTTGAAAATGAACACATGCGGCAGAAAACAAAACTTAAACCAAAAGGCGTCCACTAGAGGGCGGCAAATCAACTTCACCACAAACAAAGTATTTTTAGAGCTAACATTAAATGTGTCAACAGTACAGCAGTGACGTATCCATAGAAACAAGCAGGTGACGGACCCTCTACCAGAAAAGTTACACAATGCACCTTTAACGCTCACAAGAGTCAGTTTTGTGTAATCCATGACTTGTAAAGTGTTGGTCGTGTTTTTCTTCAGTTGTCAGACCTGAGGAACAACTTCGAGGGTCTGGAGAAAGAGAGGGACTTTTACTTTGGGAAGCTGCGGGACATTGAGGTCATCTGTCAGGAAAACCCCAGTGAACCCATCATGCAGCAGATCCTAGACGTCCTGTACGCCACTGAGGTAAGAGACAGGACAGGTGCACAAGCGGTTCGGGGAAGTAACTGAATGGAAGCGAGGAAAGAGAAATGAGACGCAGCCTTTGCTGGGTTTCAGACGACGTCTTTCTATAGGAGAATATCATTTCATACAGATGGAGGTGGATAAAATGAATGTTGTTCAACTGCAGATTTGTGTTGTAATACAGAAGGTCTTGGGTCCAGTGAATAACAGAAATGATCAGGTTCCATATTTGGGAGTTTACCTTTCAGATACTTGAACCTGAAATCCTGAAGAAACACCACTGAAAACCACAAATTTCTCAATGTTTCTTCGCAAAATGCTTCTTGATTTGTATAAAATTATAATTCATATTTACAACAGGTATTATCCGACCAAAATAAGTCAAAATTAGAGAATTGTCAAAACCTGTCAGAAACATTTTAACTCCCAGTGAAACTCCCAGTCCTGTACTCCACTGAGGTAAGACACAGGGCAGGTGCGCGAGCACTTTGGGGAAGTAACTGAATGCATGTACAAAAAATACAAATAGTAAATTTGAATAAAGGCCAACACACTGAATGCCGCATATCACAGCTCTAAAAAGGCTTCAACACTTGCTGTGTTATAAATGAGCATTTTATCTGCAGATTCCATCAGTCGTTTTTTGTCAAAGTTCTGGGATTTTTTGTCAAACCCCCTTTTTAATCAACTAAACACGTCTTTACCAACCAGCCGACCAAACAAGAATATTTGAATCGACTGCAGTCCTTCTGACTTTTCATTTCTTGACTCTGTGATTGTGTTGTCTCTTAGGAGGGCTTTGCTCCGCCAGAAGAAGAGGTGAATCCTGAGGAGGAATATTGAGGCGTCTGTCTGCAGTTTTCATCACTGGGTTTTTTTTTTTACTCTGCACGAAGTCAACACAAAAAAAAACAAAAAAACACTTTAATTCTGTTTGTTTCTCTCTCTCCTCCTTCACTGTATCTGCAACATACACAGATCAAGCAGAACATATGACCACCACAACAGAAAACTAAACCAGGACTAAAACAGGACTAAACCAAGTCTAACCCGAGACTAAACCAGGACTAAACAAGGTCTAACCAGATACTAAACCAAGACTAAAAAAGGACTAAACCAGGAAAAAACTAGGTCAAACCTGAGACTAAACCAGGTCTGAAGCAGGTCTAAAACAGTTCTAACCCGAGACTAAACCAGGAGTAAATCAGGACTAAACCAGAACTAATCTAGGACTAAAACAGGTCTAACCCAAGACTAAACTGAGACTAAACCAGGTCTAACCCAGGACTACAAATTCTGCATTAGTCTCTTTATCTGTCAGTGGTTCTAATGTTAATACTTGATCATTTCATTCAGTAACAACTAAAACAAACCTGGATTTAATTTAAACTTACTCCAGTATAAGTTTGTAAATACTACTGATACTTTGAATTTTTGTTTTCACAGTTCTGTATTTGTCTTTTAACAAATCTGTAAAGCTCTTCCTGTTTGTGCCATTTGGACAAACACTGAGCTACTAACTGAACAGCACCTTCTTTTTATTTAATGAATTATAATTAAGTATATTTTACAGGTTGAACTAGTCTAACAACTACTGAAAACTGAACGGTACACAGTAACTTGGGTCTGTTGAACTGCAAAACTCATGCTAACATGCTAACACGCTAACTTATATTTTACAGTGTTCAAAAATGAACGAAACGTGAAAATTAACTTAAAACTTTTACATGTATTTGTTGCTGTTTGGATGTGATTTTAGTTTGCCTTGTTGTTTCTTACTAACTTTTTGGGTATTTTTGTGAGAATCGAATGTTATGTTTGGGAATGTTAAACTTTGACGGTGAATGAATGATTATTTTAAGTTTATTTGTAAATTTTGTCAGATTTTGTTGCACATTTTATGCATTTTAGTGCAGGCTATTTTATTTAAAGGTGACCTATGTAACAAGCCATGTCCATAGAGATGTCACTGCTTTGCCTGAAATGTTCCACAGTATGGCTTTAAAGGGCTCATATTAAGGGCGCTTATTTATGTGTGATGTTTGTTCAAAAATGCACCTGGAGTTGTGTTTTGTTTCACTCACACAAACCCCACATATTTAAGTTCTTCTCTAGTATGGAAAAACACTCTGTTCCACCTTGTGATGTCATGTGGTGATACAGGAAGTGCTCCACTGTGTTTTTAAAGTCCACACACCTTCACTAGAATCACTTGGATCATTTCAGACCTGGAATTGTCAGTCTCTACTGAACTAAAGGTAAAAGGAGATGTTGAAAACTACCACTTCATGACATCACAAGGTGGAACAGAGCATTTTGAGCTTTGTAGATTTAGACAGACTGATAATAAAGTGTTACTCAAACATGTGAATGAAACACAACACAAGTCCAGGTCAAAAGATCACAGTTTTGTGTAATATGGAACCTTTAAACCCATGGGTGTTTTTGTTCCTAAAAATACATTTAAACTCATTCCTTCTTACCGTGGTGGGCTCGCCCTTCCACAGACTTGATTTGTAACTTCCCCTAATGGCACCTGCTTATATTAATGCCCTACTGTGGAATATTCTAAACAGAGCAAATAACATTTCCATGGAGTAGCAGGTGGTGGATCATCCACCAGAAAAGTTACATAGTGCTCCTTTAGCACACAGTTTGGACTTATGGTCACTAATGCCTTTATTTAATCTATGACTTTTTTATATGATTATGATTAAAAAAAAGGAAAAGTAAAATGGTTAATGCTGGAATGTTGGGTCAGGAGGGACGGTCTGATGTGACTGGTCATTCGAAGTTTGCGAACAGGGTATTTTTTTTTTTTAAGTTAGGAAATGGTTACGGTTATTGTTAAGGTCAGGGAAAGGTTTGGAGGTGTAACATGTTAGCAGAAGCAACTTTAAAGAGGAGGTATTATGCAAAATCGTATATTTTTTTAAACTTTCCATCATTTTATAACATCCCTGACAGTTTGTTCTGCTCCCTGCGCTCATCCTCAGAGTCGTCTTTAGAGTCACGTGATGTTGCTGTGACATGTTGCTCAGCTCATTTAAACAGGGTTTGTCTCTGTCTTCCTGCTTTAGGAGGCAGGACGACAGCGCCTCCTGCAGTCCATAACGTGGTTCTGCACATTATGGACTGATGAACCATCACAGGGACAGAGGACAACAAACATCATCACAACTGAAATATGGAAATGTATGGAAATATGGAGACAAGGGTCTTTTTTACTCTCACACACTGGGATACTGTCCTGAGGAAGTGGGACTGCAGGTGGCGCTGTCGTCCTGCCTCCATTGGTAGAAAGACAGAGACAAAACCTGTTTAAATCATCTGAGTGACACATCACAGAAACATCATGAGATTGAGGAAGAGCACAGGCAGTAAAACAACCTGTCAGGGATGAAAACAAACTCTTGGTCTGAAAAAAGAACCTAATAACAAACTATCAGAAGACCAAATGAACCTTGTTGGAGCTTTCTTCCCTGTTATAACATTGTTCTCTCATCAAAAACATGCCTGAAGAGGTTTTAAATATCATCCATGCATGTTTGAATAATCTCAAGATCTCTACTGGCTCCTATTTAAACCCTCCTTACTAATATGTGTAGGATTTTGTACAAGGCTCCGCCCACAAGCCTACATCACCCGTGCTCCCAGACAGCAGTTCTCCATAAATACACAAAAAAACATGATACAAAACTGTACACAGCAGCTTGACAAACCTAATGCGATGTGCAGGAGTTTCAGTAATGGGTGCTCTGAGGGGGGCGTGACTTAGTGCAGGGAGTGGAGTGACTTGTTTTTGATGAATATAGCATTTTCAAAACAATAAAAGATAACACAGTGATCCAACAGAAGTAACATACCGCCTCTTTAAGGTCAGGGTTTGGTTATATTCGGGGTCTGGATTACGTTAAGTGAAGATGAGGAAAACAGTTAAAGTTACGTTCAGGAAAAGGCTACTGGTTACCGTGGCAACCAGAGGCAACCATCACTTCCGTCGCTTCAGACCCGACGTTCCGCACTAACCGAGTAAAAGCGTGTGAGTGCAAAATGGCGGACAGTAGCATTTGAAAACATGGGGGAAATCTGCATTGATGTCTATGGATAATGTGGGTTGTAGCAGAACTAACAGAGGTTGTGTCTTGATCTTTTGACTTTAGTGGAAAATTTCAAAATGGTTTAACGGCACGGATCCAGTATTTTAATAATAAAAGTGTATTCTGTAACTTTTCTGCCACCTCCTCGTTTCCATGGAGATGTTATTGCTTCACCGACCAGAAAAGTTACACAGTGCAGCTTTAAAGTTAAAATAAAGCTTGTTCAAAATGTATAACTGCTAAATTGTCTTATTCTATTTAAATCACATACGCCCAGTTATTAAAAAGGCAGTTATTGTTACTATCTATTCTGCAAAACAGTTTAAAGACCAAAATCATATACATTTTTTATTTATTTATTTTTTTATTTTAACATAGTCACTGATCATAATTCACCAAACAATTATTTCAAAGTTAATATTTAAACATTGAAACCATGGATTTTTCCTCTAAAGTCATATTATACTTTTGTGTTTTTATTGAACTGTTGTAATCAAACGTGTGCATACTAACACTCGTCATCATCGCTCATTGACTTCTGTGTGAAACGTGACAAAGGCTGGGACAGACTCCACACACACTGCTCAGACAGTTGAATTAAGAAAACTCATTTAATGTCATTGTGCACTTTTGTTTATTTGCTGTGAATCTTTGGACATTTATGCAACAATCTACAAGACATGGAGCCTTTGGGTTTTGAATAATTAAACCAATGGGAAAGAAAAACGTGTCTGCTTCTTTTTTTTTAAATAAATATAATACATAAGACTTTTATAGCACTTTTCAAGATACTCAGAGATGTTTTACATGGACAAACAAAAGACATAAGCAAGTTAATGAAAGGTGGTTTTAAAGAGATAGTTTTATGTGACTTTACTATATTTACTGCACACAACTGACTCTTGTGAGCTTTAAATCGTGTTATAATGTTCCCTTCTCAAAAACAGACCTGGAGTTGTGTTTGTTTCATTCACACATCTCCAAAGCTCAAAATGCTCTGTTCCACCTTGTGATGTCATGTAGTGGTAGTTTTACCTTATAAGTTCTAGTACTTCTCAAATTAATAAATGAATAATGCGGCATAAAAGGGTTTGTAGGTGGTTTATGTGTGAATGTGACTTTATAAAACATAAGTGAATAGAATGTGGTTCATTCTTTTATTTTAGTGTTTATAATGATAGAAATGTTTTACAGAGCAATGGAATAACATGAATTAACATGAATTAATTCATAATAAAATAATAACATAAGTATAATGGTATGTTTGTAAAAATGTAAATTAGATCCAGCTAATTTCACTCTCATGTGGGACACTCTATTTGAGTCTCTATCAGTGGTTTGTAGTGCTGGAGTTCAGCCGTCCCCATTCACTGCTCTTTTTGGGATTCTTCAGGCCGATCTCTCCTTGTCACTCTGTTTTGTTGACCTTGTGGCTTTTCTTACACTGTTGGCCAGGCACACTGTCCTGATGCACTGGAAATAAATGATGTAATCTTATTCATGAAAGTGGAGAAAATAAGACAGTCTCTCAAAGGCTCTGGCTCTAAATCCACTGAAGCCTGGTTCCTTTTATAGATCATGTCATGTCTCTGACACTGGAGGTGACTCCTGTGTCCTGTTGAGTTTTATCTCGTGTTGTTCATGGGTATCACTATGTAGTACATATTATTATTATTATTATTATTATTATTACTATTGCCTTTTATTGCTTATTCTTTTCTCTCTCTCTCTCTCTCTCTCTCTGTTTGTCTCTCTTTGTTTTTAAGGTGTGTACATTGTAAGCTGTTAATATTGTATACTGGCCCTGGATATTACACATCTCTATGTAAATGGTCTTTTATATTTTGAAAAAACCTAAATAAATCATACATAAAAAAGTATATTGTGGGTTTCAGATGAGATCACAGTTTTCTATAGGCCAGTATTATACAGAGGGGGACGCTAAAATGAATATTGTTCAACTGCAGATTTGTGTTGTCTTGAATCTATTCATAATAGGTTCAGGTTCCATATTTGGGATTTTACCTCGCCGATATTTCTTAAACTTGTCCCGGTCGGAAATCATGACATCATCACATTCTAGAATCTGAAAACCACCAATAGTGTATCATTTTGTCTTATGAATATAAGCAAGAAAACAGCTAAAACCGACTAAAACCTACTAAAATGCTTGAAATTACAACATACTAACAAAAAGAAGAAGGATTTACCCTCAAATAAAAGCCACTGCTGGATATTGGTGTCGTTTGAGTGTTTATGTATATATCTGGTGACTTTAGCGAGTGTGAAGGGGGATTAGCTCAAATGGTAGAGCGCTCGCTTAGCATGCGAGAGGTAGCGGGATCGATGCCCGCATCCTCCAAACTTATTGCCATTTTAACACATTTAGATATCGCTGTTCTTTTTTTCTTCAGTTTAATTTTTCATTAAACTATGCAGATACATGATCATTTTGTAAAAAGTCATAAAACATTCTATAATTACAATCCGTTTAATAGCTGGTAACTTCTATAAATCGTTTGTTTGACATGAAAAAAAGCATCGAAAGTGCAACAATATGTCGCTTTCTTAACACATATGTGATGTTAAGTATACTAAATGCGAAACTATTCACATGACCATACACTGTAAGCTGCGGAGTAAACGAATTGTTCATTTGTCGCTTAAAACACACACGAGATTTCTTTATCCAGCAGTTTTTGCTCGAATCTAAAACAAAACAACGAAAAAAACAATATGTCCCAACTTCCCAACGTCGTCAGAGATTTCCACGATTCCACGCATCACTTTTCATCTCCATGTAGTTTACATGAGGAAAAGAGCAAAGAAATACACATTAACAAAATATTTTATCATGTTTATTTTAAGTGTCTAAGATTATGTCATCGTCTGTCCACCAGAGGGCAGCACATTCGCAAGAAAAACAGGTTTGACTGGTTATCTCGTTCGTATTTGGTAGAAAGTTATTCATAATTGTATTTAAATGCACTTGTACATGTATAATATAATACTTTTTTGTTGTTTTAAGGCTCTAACTGGTCTGTAAAATCCACATATGGGTAAAAAGTGTCTGTTGTTAGTGGTCTAAACACTCTGGCATGTAACTTGGGTTTATATTTTTGAATTTCCTGCACCCTGAGAGCTTAGTTGTTCTGTGTATGTTGTGCTTAGTGTATAAATGCATCAGAAATATAAAAGCCAATAACACAATTTTTGTCACTTCACGCTTAAAACTTGTATCTTATAGGTCTACTTACTGTTCATGATGTCTGATTTGTGTTTTAATTCTAATCCAAAAAAGCATACAAAATAATAATATAATATATGCTCTGCCTGGAAAGTTCCACAGTGTGACATTAAACTGTTCTACTTTACATTTATTCAATTACATTTGGTTTTATGTGTCAAAAATATCTAGAAAAACAGACATTCTGACTGTCAGCGGGGTCGCCTCTCCACAGATCTGACCTGTGACTTGGTCTGGTTTGGTCTCCATGTAGATAGAAAGGTTTAATGCCATACTGTGGAACATACAGACAAAGCAACAACATCGAAGAAAAGCATTTGAAGGACATTCCCCTGGAAAAGTTACACAATGCATCTTTAAAAATGTTTTCATAGTTTACACAGGGATGGCTCCTCCCCAAAATTAAAAACAGAAAATGGCAACTATAATGCTCCACTGTGGAACATTCCAGGAAAAGCAGTAACATCACTGTAGAGTCATGTGCTTGCACAGAACTGTTGTACAAATCCTGGGAAATGACATACAGTAGATTTTCCAAAATGCCATTATTCATTATTTTGTACAACTACAGCACAATACTATCAGAACAGACGATCATTACGAGGGATGGGACCAGATTTCATGCCACAAGAAAAATGATCTGGTGGTGAGATGTCTTCCAACTGTTTACAGGTCAGATCTGTGGAGAGGTGACCACACTCACAGTCAGAATGTCTGTTTTTTTGAGCTATAAAACAACTTGTAATTGAATAAATGTACACAGTAAAAAGTGAAGTGTTAAAATCGACTCTCACAGAATCAATTTGAACATTCAATTTGAAATGTTAATGAAGTTTAAGTTAAGTTTTTAAGTTTTTAACTGAACCAAAGTTCCTGTTTAACCTGAAATCAAGAGTTATATTCATGTTTTGAGAGTAAATGGATAACACTTAGTAGAGTTATCCTGATTTAACTAAACAACACACAGAGGTATTTTATTTTTAAACTTTATTTGAGTTCATTTAAAATGAAATTATGAACAAAACTGTTTCAAACTCTCGCAGGAGTTTGGAGTGGTGGGTGGAAGGTGCCAAATTAACACTAATGGAAGTTAAATTACGTTGAATTCACTTTAAGTAAGTAAGTCTTTATTTATATAGAGCTTTTTCACAGACAAATGTCACAAAGACGTTTTACAGAGGATTATTCAGTATTATTCATTCACTCTATACCTGGTGATGATAATCTACTGTTGTAGCCACAGCTGCCCTGGGGCAGGCTGGCAGAAGCGCAGCTGCCATGCCAATCGGCGCCATCGGTCCCTCCGACCACCACCAACACTCACAAACACACCAATTTCATACTATAGGCAATGTGCCTAAGGACACAACAACAGTTTTGTGACTGACGCCCCCTTGTGGCACCTGATTTTCCCAGTGTCTCCATCCAAGTACTGACCAGACCAGACTCTGCTGAAGACTTTGACAAGCTGGTATGACCAAAAAACTAAATAACCCCAACTCACAACCCCATTTAACTTTCTATAATGAAAATAACACTTTTTGTGTTAAAAACTATTCTGAAATATTTTACCCTGAAATTTGAACCCTCCAGTTTTTGCTGTGTAATGTAGAGCTGTTTAATGTCCCACTGTGGAACATTCTGGGCAGAGCAGTGACATCTCCATAGAAACAAGCAGGTGATGAATCCTCAACCAAAACATGATGAAACAGAGTTACATGTGGAGAGTCTCTTACAGTTCCAAAAAGCAGGACTAGAACAGAAGATAAAATATGAAATCAAATATGTCAAAAACTGGAAAATCATGAAATGTAAATATTACTAGAATTCTGTTCATATCTGGTCTTGTGTCGCTCTCTTCGACCCAGTCTCATCTCATCTTGCATCTCGTCCCGCCCCTCATCATCACTGTAGTTTATGCTGAGAGTTTTTGACCTAGTTTAGATCTAATTAGCTCTGGCTCAGCGTGTAATGTCAGTTTTGTGGTAACTGTAGCTCAGAAAATCCCCTCTTTGTTGCTCTATATTCTCCGGGTTTTCTGAGGCGGTAAACTCTGGTTGAACCCTGGATCTGTCTCCTGCTTCTTCTTCTTCTTTTTCTTTTTCTTCTGCTGCTGCTGCTGGTGCCTGTGGACTTTCCTTCAGACGCTTTTATCAAATGAGGAAAAGCTTTGAGTTCACACAGGATTACTTCTCGTCTGAACAGGGACATTTGTAGCTTTGCGGGGGCTTATGAGTGCGGTGTTACTTTGGGGGCACACTATTCACAAATTAAAAGACTGAAATTAGAAAAAAAAACAAATTTTTAAACTGATTAGAGAGTTTAGAAAAGGTGCCTCTTACATTTTTATCCAGCGCCTTTTCACTTTCAAGGCTCAAAGCGCTTTACCTCAAACAACCACCCACCCATTCAAATGCCAGACACTGGGGGCGAGGTGGGTTAAGTGTCTTGCTCAGAGACACAACAACATTATACATAT